TTCACAGTCTTACTATTCCTGCAGATATTCTTCAATTGTTATAGGTGCCATAGATTTACATATCTACAACTTGACCCGCGTTAAACCCAAACCATGCGTGCATGACAACCGTCACCCTATACACGGTTACTCAATGAATACCATACTCTACAGTAGACATTTTTAGCTCTCCACCAAAAATTGAATGGTTTTATTTCATATTAGTTGTGTCTGTGTCAGTCTCGTATTTGATTTCACATGTTTGGTTCGATCTTGTTTATGGTGGAAATTATTGCTACGCGTATGTATTATTACCAATTTTATATGGCCGTGTGATCCACCGTATTTTTTCAACGGTCGTTCTATAAAATTTTGATTGTATTTATTCTTATTTTAACATCATAAAAACAAAAATGACACACTTGTACATGAAACAGTAGGTAATGAACTGTAAATGCGGGCGGTTGCTCTGTCAGGCGAGCGAGCGAGCGAGCGATTGCGCGAGCGGATACTTCCGGGCGGGAGGCTGGGCGAAATGAGTACTGTAGAAGAACTCACCTGATATCCCATTGAGAGGAGTGACCTCAGGATAGAAGAACTCGCCTTATACCTCATTGAGAGGAGTGACCTCAGGATAGAAGAACTCGCCTGATATCCCATTGAGAGGAGTGACCTCAGGATAGAAGAACTCGCCTGATATCCCATTGAGAGGAGTGACCTCAGGATAGAAGAACTCGCCTTATACCTCATTGAGAGGAGTGACCTCAGGATAGAAGAACTCACCTGATATCCCATTGAGAGGAGTGACCTCAGGATAGAAGAACTCGCCTTTTACCTCATTGAGAGGAGTGACCTCAGAATAGAAGAACTCACCTGATATCCCATTGAGAGGAGTGACCTCAGGATAGAAGAACTCACCTGATATTCCATTGAGAGGAGTGACCTCAGGATAGAAGAACTCGCCTTATACCTCATTGAGAGGAGTGACCTCAGGATAGAAGAACTCGCCTTTTACCTCATTGAGAGGAGTGACCTCAGGATAGAAGAACTCACCTGATATCCCATTGAGAGGAGTGACCTCAGGATAGAAGAACTCGCTTGATATTCCATTGAGAGGAGTGACCTCAGGATAGAAGAACTCACCTGATATCCCATTGAGAGGAGTGACCTCATTGTCAATTTCAGCACCATACTCTTCTTGAAAGACACAAAATTGCGCACATTCTCCAGAAGAAAGAACTTTGGCCTGTAGTAGTCACAATAACTGAGGTAGGAGACAACCAAGGAATTCTGACAAAAACAAGAATGAATAGAGTTTATGTCAAGTATTTCTATAAATACAGCCCAACAAGAATCATTATTGCACATACTGGTGAAAGGGTTGTGTCAAATGCAAGTTTAGTTTATGCACACTCAATCCACAAATAATTTTTATATTTCATCTTAATAACTTTGCTACAATGTACATGTGAATTAAATGTGATTTTAAATTGTACTTTTCTTGTCTCGCACGATATTGGAGCTATAGATAATATTATGCACAACGGAAATGGTGGTATATTATTAAGTATTAATTTTCAGTTCTGGTCAGCCTGACAAAAAGTACCAAGCAAGTCTCTCGTTTTTTATTGTTTTTTTTATTTATGATCTGGTATACTGTAAACCAATTAAGGCATTGAATATAGTTTGCCATGAATGATCTCCCAATTAAATTACTCTCACTTAATGTGAGGGGTATTAGAAACAATATAAAGAGAACCAAATTATTTGCATGGTTGAAACGCAAAAAATGCAACATTATTTTGCT